AGCGGAGCATATAATACTCTTAGGTGCACAGCTGGCAACGTTCAGTGGGCGAATACAGATATGCAGGTCTTACTTGATGTGTTTTGCCGCAACAACAACAAAAATTGAACTTCATATCGTGCAGGTTATAGCTTAAATTAACTGAATTTTACTATTAAAAATTATAACTTAATTAAATTGAAATTATATAATTTTGCAAAGCAAACATATGACCTACCGTTTCTTTAAAAAAATGAGCATAGAAATGAAGTTCGGATAAACTGTAATTTTAATAATTAAAAAAACGCAAATTGTACGTTCATGCTTCCAAAAAATAAAAATAACAACTTACTCATTAACTGGAGGAACGTGTGACAGCCATAAAATTTACAAAACCGGGATATAACTTAGGGAAAAGGTCAATGATTCCCAACAGGGAAGGGTTTGTACCTTGGATGTAAATTAAAATCTATTGGTATTAACTTTTACTTTTCAATTGGAACTTGATCTTGAAACACATAATCAAAATTAATATAGTATAAATTGCCGATTAACGTAGAAGTAAAGGGTTTTATAACATGGCTTCATGATCGAAAACACAAAGTGTTAGACCTTCACCGCTGAAACTTCATGCTTCACGTTTGAGTCGTCATGCTGCAGGTGCTCCACGTTTGAGGCGTCATGCTTCACGTTTGAGGCGTCATGCTGCACGTGCTCCACGTTTGAGACGTCATGCTTCACGTTTGAGGCGTCATGCTGCACGTGGTCCACGTTTGAGGCGTCATGCTGGCGTGCTCTACGTTTGAGTCGTCATGCTGCACGTGCTCAAATATCTGAGCTCTCCTCGTGCGGGCGGTCGCCCCTGTAGACGTTGTCGGTGAGGCAGCCCCTGGCCACCGACCTGGGCCCATACTTTCAAAACTCGCTAAGTGAACGTAAGTACTTACGCTCTATTTTCTTGTCTATGATTGGTGGATTTTGCGTGAAAGGACGTCAATGATTGGCTGATGAACTTACGATCTCTTAACTTTTTTTGAAAGTATGGGCCCTGATCGAGTTGTCCGGCAAGCCCAAAAAAACATCTATGGGAAGTGATGGAAACGGTTCGTTGTTGTTGAATTACCATGTCAATTGAAAAAACATGATGAAAATTACCACCATTTTCGAATTACCAAAGTAATTAAATTTTTAAATAATCATAATATTTCAATTTTGAGTCACCACAGTTTTTCACAAACATCTAGTTGCACTGTACTCGGAAAGAGGGGAACGCAGCCGTGCACCACCAAAGTTGTGCACTAATCAGCCCTGAAAATAACGCCTATATAGCATATTCCGGATAACCACCAATCAGCCGCGTATTAACCCTGCCGTCAGTAACCAGCCCGTGACATCATGTTGCTTTAAATACTAGGAGCTTCACGCCACCACATTCTGAAGCGAATAGCCCAGAGATAAGCTATTCATCGGGTTATAGAGACAAGTACAAGTACTTGTTACTTGTTACTTGTACTTGTACTTGTACTTGTTCTTGTACTTGTATTTGTACTTGTACTTGTATTTGTACTTGTACTTGTACTTGTACTTGTACTTGTACTTGTTCTTGTACTTGTACTTGTACTTGTATTTGTACTTGTTCTTGTACTTGTACTTGTTCTTGTACTTGTTCATGTACTTGTACTTGTACTTGTTCTTGTATATGTACTTGTATTTGTACTTGTACTTGTTCTTGTACTTGTACTTGTACTTTTACTTGTACTTGAACTTGTACTTGTACTTGTACTTGTATTTGAACTTGAACTTGAACTTGTACTTGTACTTGTACTTCACTTGTACTTGTCGTTAGCTCGAACTTTAACAAGCGTACAACGGACTGCGCTCAACCAGCCCAGCTCGCCAGTGGAACTGCATGCATCCTGCCGTGCACCACCAGACCGTCACTTTTAGCTCACAACATCCGGGGTTAGGTTTCAGAAAGCATGGTTCTGTTCCAAAATCTATCGTCCTTCGACGAGCGATTTCCGCAGCTTCGCTAAATTACGTAACTTTTAGCTCACAGCATCTGGGGTTAGGTTTCAGATAGCATAGTTCTGTTCCAAAATTTATCGTCGTAGGACGCGTGGCCGTTCACCGTAGGCTGATTCGACACATGGGACAGATACGGACGGCTCCGGCGCGCTCCGTCCGGGTGGGGTAAAAATTTGTCGCGTATTGGCAGACGACGCTGGGCCATTCTACGTCAGGCTCTTTTCCTGTGGGCTGATTGATCTAATTCAATGGATGTCATCTGTCTGGTGGCTTGCGGCTGATAATGTTACAGTCAAAAAGTGTTACAGGCTACGTTCTTGAGGGAAAGGATCATGATTGTCCATTCGATGCACGGCAGTGCTGGTCTCCGGCAGGCGTCCCGGAAAGAGACGAGACTATAATTCATCAGCTGTGTGTATGGTATTTGATCTGTAGTGATCAGCTCCTAGCGACAGTGCGAATGCATGAAAGATAGAGAGGTTGATCTTATTGCTGCATATTTTACGGAAAAGTTTAAAGCTCGCAGCAGAATGTATTGCGACTTTTACAATAAGTTATTTTCTTCTATCCAATGGAAACTACGGATGTTTACGTCAAGCTGACGACTTCAGTCCTCTCCAGTTATCAATGATTCTTCTCATATGTTCAATCCTTCTGTCTGTCACTATACATCAGAATAATATGCATAGCTAGATCACTATCAATAATATGGTTTGGTTGAGCGGCGAACGATAATTATTTTATATCACGGGACATTCAGAATCAAACCACTAACACAAACCTGATCATCGGCCAGACATTGGCATCCTAAACTGGGTTGGCAATATCATAATAATAAAATAATAATAATAGCGGTTTCAGCGTTTATTAGGCCGTAGGCCTGTCGCCGATTCTTAACATCGCAGAGCATTCACAGCATTTTGAGGTCTCGAACTCGCAACTCACTGCTACAATTCTGCTGTGCTTAACCGCCCGGTTTCCTTGCCGATTCTGACCAGAAACTGTCGCACAGAGCTGGGATCGAACCCGCACCTCTCTAGTGCGTCAATCCTGGTACTCTGAACTTTAACCACAGGGCCACCCTGCCCGACGTTGAACGACGTTGAGAACAATAACAGTGGCTGCACTATTGCACTCATTAGTGTCTTATCAATTATCTACGTGCTGAAATATTGAATATTTTCCATGCACAGGTATACTTTTGCTGAACTTAATCTCAAGTTGAATTTGCTGAACTCCTTTGAAGATCCTGCCAGAGCAGTGAATTAATGCCTTGGGTGCCTGTAATGAGTGAGGGATACATGCACATGGCGGACTCGGTGAACCCCCTGCACATCAGACAAAATCATACGTCTTTCTGTCAAGAAGCTTTTCTTCGCCAAAATATTTCTTCCTATCCATCTCTTACTTTATTAAAAATCCAAGAGTGTCTAACGTTTCATTAGGTGACAATTTCTTTTAAACATGCCCATTCTTACTTGCCTATGATGCATTAGTTCACATCAAAAACTGCATTCTTAACCCTCATGAATGTAAATTATTATTGATCAATAGTAATCACTCTCGGCAGACTAACGCAATGGTAATTCATTATTTTAACGTACGTGAAGAATGTCTACACCGACAGTCCTCTGGTGACCAAAGAGGACGTCCTCAAGTCAAGGTCCAGTAACGAGTCCGTCGAGTCGGCGTCGGGCGGCGCCTGTACTCACACCCGCTGGACCAGGCGCCATCGTAGAGGTTGTCCAAGTGGTGGGGGCTGCCTACGTAGCGTTGAGACGATACTTGGAATGTAAATGTGTTGAACGTGATAAAATATAGTCATTAAAAACAATGCTCAACTTTGTGCGACGTACATTATGCTTTATTATTTTACAAATTCTTGATGCGGTTTTTTCACTCACAGCGGAGAAAGACAAGTTGAAGCATTCGTTTACGCCAACGTGTTGAACTGAAAAGGTGTCTTCGCCTGAGTTGTAGTCCGAGAACAATATCCAGCTGGGTTGGAGCAAATGGTTCCTATAAGTATATACTAGTTTTTAAACATTTTCCACGAGCATAATCACAAAATATTAAATTAATTACGACCTATCTATTATAAATTACCGAAACATTATTTTGACGCCGCAGCCCTCTAGTTGGCGAGGGCTGGCTAGTCATGTTCAACTAATTTGCTTGCCAAAAAGGCTTGCGGGCAATTTTGCGACACGTCAGCATTGTTAGAAGCTACGTTACTGGGAGAACAAATTTTTGTAATTCCGTTGGTAGCTGATTACATTTATAGGTTCTGTCATGTTACCCACTTCAGTCAGTTGATCTTTTGACAAACTTATGCGCATGCATTCTTAAAATAATAAGGCTCACTTCTCTGTCATGCATACATACGCCTTTGAGTACTTTATCCATGCCCTGGACGCTGAGGTCGGCGGAGTAGTCCAGGAACTCGTGGTGACTGCAGTGTCAGCACCACCATGCAGTGCAGTACTGCAGTGTCAGCAACACCATGCAGTACCTTGCATGGATTAACACCAAAATTATTCCATCAGCCATCCATCGTCAAGGCTGTCAAACTGTGAGTTAATAATTGAACATCTATCTATTCACTTTGTATCCATGCGTTCGTCATATCTCATTTGACATGTTTCGTAATGTTTCATAACATTCGGGACGCCAGTTTAAAATTGCGGGACTGAATTATTGTAACGTTAACGAAATTTAATCCAGGATATTTAAAAAAACTTTTTCTATATTTTTCCTGGATCTGTCTCGACTCGTTTCATAGTCCTGGTTCTTTTCGAAAGCACTATTCCGAGACGGAGGAGTGGCATCTGAGTGCACCATTAATTAACTTCGTGATTTAGTAAAGATCCCTCATCATTCCTTACATGCACTGCGTTGATTTTGCTCAAAGGAAAATAAAAAATGCATATTATTATTTCATTTAAAGACAAACAAATGTAAGTTTATCCAAAATCAGTTCACATATCACATTTTTAAAATCAATCATTTACACTCAAAATTTAAAATGCTCCGTATCTCCATATCTGTAATCAGGACCTCCACATCATTACTTTCCGCCGTTCATTGTGAAGAAGTTGGACTTCCGGCACCAACAATCCAACTCTTTCGACGAGGTTGTGCTCGATGCGTTAGCTTTGCAGGAAGATTCCTCCGAGTCACTCTCAGTATAAGTGCTTGCAGTTTTACAAAACGAACAGTAGTCTGTTGAGCCTTGAGTTGCGCTTTTTGAACTAAAACCTGTACTGCGTGTTTGCGAAGTCGACATGGTCGTGCTGGAACTCTTCGAGGCCGAACTCGGGCTCGTAGTCTGACTGCCGGAAGAAGCGGTGGAATCTGTGTCGCCAGTCTTGCTCTTACTCGATGAATTGTCTGAGGTAGAAGCGGTCCCAGAAACTGAACTCAATTTCGAGGAAGTTCTTCGAGACGAACCACTTTCCGTCGTCGATCGAGTCGGTTTATCTGACGAGTCACTGCTGACCCCTTTTCTGCTAGAGCTTGAAGATTTTTGGGTCTTGGATGAGCTTGAGCTGCATTTTGCCGAACTCTTCGTGTCGTCTGCTTCGGAAGACTCGTCGTCAATCAACTGAGAGCTTCGGTTCGTGGTCCTCTCCGATCGATTTCTGATTCCTGCGCTGCTGGATGCTGAATTCAGTTTCTTTGATTTGCCTCGGGAGTCTGTAGTGGATTGAGATCTTGAGGAGAGGGTTTCAGTCGTACTTGATTTACAATTAGAAGAGGCACCCGTACTTGATTTTGTTCCCAGATTATCAGTATCCGAGCAAACTGTTACGGTACTTTCACCCCCTGACCGCGAGGAGCTGCATTTGTTCTCAGATGTTGCAAATTTGCTCCCAGAAGTTTTGCATCGCGTATTGCTCGACGATTCATTTGACTTGCTTTTCGAATCAGAAGTGCACGTTTTGCCGCTGGAAGAAAACTTTCTGGTATTACCTCCTGATGAGTAACTGCATTTGCTTTTCGATGGAGCATAGGATGAGCTGCCAGGGCTTTTCTTACTCCTCGTCGAGCTTGAACACGACTTAATTCCACAGTTTGTTGAGCAATATTTATTCCCCTCTGAGGTTGGCTTTGAAAAGCAATGGCGCGCTGCACAAACTGTAACTTCGCTGGAGGCTGAGCAACCGTCCGATTCATCTTCAGTTAAACTAATGCACTTCAAGCTTCGAGTTTTGCAGCTGCTTCCTGATGATGTTGTTTCAGATTTACTTTTTCCACAGGCCGCACTGCACGGGTTACCATCCAGACTTTTGCTGCTAGCACATGTCGAATCTGTGCTTTCTTCGATTTTGAATGCTGAGTGTATAGATGCTCCACTGCAGCCACACACTCGAGCGTTGATCACATTATAGTTACATTTAGGAACTGCTTTTTCACAGTTATCAACCTTGCATTTGTTGTCCACGCGGCCCTTCTATAGTCGGTTTCTAGTGAAAGCTCCGGTGATCTTTTCCTTGATCATCTTCCTGCGTCTTCCCCGGCATGGATCCCGGCATCCGTCATCAGAACTGGAGCTCGAACTTGACGAAGAAGAGGTGCTTTCCTTGCAAGAATCTTCCGTTTGGTCATTGCACTCGCAGCTTTCTTTTGTACTGCTCGAGCTGCTGCTTGATTCAGCCCCGCATAAATTGTTTCGGGTCGTCATTAAAGATTCTTCACAGCAGGCAGTTCCAAGCTTCCAATTCTTCTGAGCTCCTCCAAAGTTTCGAAGAAGTTGCGCTTTTGGTTTTTGCTTTCCGTACTTCAGATTTTATTTCCAATTTGTAGAAGTTCGCAGTAAATTTTTAAACTGAGCTGAAAGTCGAGCTTTGTACTCCCAAGTATTGTGGATACCGACGCTATATCTGTCATTTTTGAACTATTTTTGAAATTTTTCGATTAATTCCCTTCGATTGACATACGTTTGTGGATGCAAAATGCGTCATTTGACCAGAAATTGAACTTTAATAATTCGGTCGTTCGTTTTGCCCTGCAGTATTTTTTCCAGCTGATCAATTGCTAATTTTCTTATTCAATTGTTGATCTAAAATCGTTGCCCGAGTCGGACGGCAGGTAGATACGTTCGCTTAAAAGGGGATTAGAGAAACAAAACACACAAGAAGGCCTACAGCGGTAAAATTTCATGTCTTCGCAATAAGAGAGATATAATCCTAAATTAATTGGGCATTAAATAAAGAATTTCTGCATGTACCGGAATTTTGTCGTAAAATATAAACATTAAAGGGGACCTACCTCCCTGAAAATCGGAAATTTTGGCTTTTCCGTTTTCTTGACTCATTTTGTAGCTGCTGAAAAGGCACGTCTTGCGCAGTTTACCGCATGTCTGTGCGTGCTATAGTTTTTGCGTAAGACAATTTTAAAAATATATAAAATGAACATTTTTAACAATATGTACGAAAATTTATTTGAATTAAATCTGTATATATAGATCATTACTTTCGTTAATTACTAAGTGTTTGCACTCTTTTGAAAGATACAAACGAGACGCGTTTAACAAAGCTACTACCATAGATGTACATGCAATACTTTTTCTAGTAATGCAGTCTTAAACTTTTATAAAATGATCATTTTATAACATCATTTACTAATAAATGGTATTTATATGTCATTATTTAGGTTAATTGCAAAGTGTTTGCACTCGTTTGAAAGCTACAAACAAGACGCGTTCAACAAAGCTACTACCATTGATGTACATGCAACAGTTTTTGCTTAATGCAGTTGTAACGTTATGTAAAATGAATATTCCATATATATATTTTTATATATAAAAAGTCCAATTTATAGCTTATTATTCATTATAGTTAAATTTGACATAAATAGGTATAAAGACGCGTGCTGGTACCTTGAATGCAAATAATTGGCAATGGGAAAGCTTGGGCTACAATATCAAGACTTTTTTTGGGTATATTCTTCTGTTTTCAATGAATTTTACTTTATTTGGCTCCCCTGAACAATTTAAATTTTCGTTTTTTGTCTTTTTGAAAACCTATCTCCTACTACAGTTTTCAAGCTACAGCAATGAGACATATACCATTTGATTCGTAAAGACAATACCTATCAACTCTAGCATCCCTGTTTTTTAATTTGTGCATAGTTCGTCTTATATATGGGGGAGAAGGGGGGGAGGGCTGGGAAAAAGTAAAAAAATGGAAAAACGCGCATAAAAAAGAAACTATGGGGAAAATAAAAAAAAATGATGGCAGAGTTGATAGGTATGGTCTTTACGAATCTAATGATATGTGTCTCGATGTTGTAGGACGATATTTGTAGGAGGAGATAGATTTTCTATAGTACCCGCTTATGGCCGTTTTCTATGAATATCACGTTTTCTATCAATTTTTTCGGAAAAATGTTAATATGGTCTTCTATTGCCTTATTTATCAAACTGCCCTTATTGCCTCTTTTATCAAACTGGGTTATTTATAATTATCCATTTTTTCTGAGAGAATATGTATTCCGTATATCTAAGTATATACATTAGTCCTATAAGAAGTTTTAAATTTACATCAAATTGCTCGTAAATTTAGATTTATGGCTGTAAAACAGTATTGTGAATGATGTTTTAAGAATAGTCATCAGGTGAAGATCTGTTCCCATATACTTATTAATACACAATAAAGTATACATTATTTTATTAATTATGTCTAAAATCAGCGACTGTTTTCCCTGTAGGTGCGTGGTATGAAGTGCTTCCAATATTGCTGCAACAAATGAAATAAAGTGGTCATTTTGGGTGCTGTATAAAACATCTAAAAGTCAATGTACAGTGAAATTAGGATCATCGTTAGAAAGAAATATTTTAATAAAATGTCAGTGAAATAATATGTGTGAAAAATAATAGATATTACAAAGGAAATACAGGCACAAGCTGTGAACTCAAACTCGACAACAATGAACTGAAACTCAAAAACAATGAACTGAAACTCGACAACAATGAACTGAAACTCGACGACAATGAACTGAAACTCAACAACAATGAACTGAAACTCGACGACAATGAACTGAAACTCGACGACAATGAACTGAAACTCGACGACAGTGAACTGAAACTCGACGACAATGAACTGAAACTCGACGACAGTGAACTGAAACTCGACGACAATGAACTGAAACTCGACAACAATGAACTGAAACTCGACGACAGTGAACTGAAACTCGACAACAATGAACTGAAACTCGACAACAATGAACTGAAACTCGACGACAGTGAACTGAAACTCGACGACAGTGAACTGAAACTCGACGACAATGAACCTAACTATGAACTGAAGCTCGACGACATTGAACTGAAACTCGACAACTATGAACTGAAGCTCGACGACTGTACACTGAAACTCGACGACTATGAATATAAACTCGATAACTATGAACTGAAGCTCGACGACTATGAACTGAAACACGAGACGATGAACTGAAACTCGACGACAATGACGTGAAACAAGCCGAAACTCGACTAACATAGTTGTAATTTCGACTGGCTCCAGCAATGACAAACGTGTTTGGGTTTCGATGTTGAAGTGTTTGTTGCGGCGGCAAAACAAACGACCATCTGTCGATTGCCGACATTTGAGCTGGTGTTTGTGCTTCGACTGATGAACAGCCAAAAGCGAAGAGAATGGGAAATTTTCCAGACCATGTGCATGATGGACTCTCGTGTATCAGATAAATGAATAACACAGGCTTCCATGTTAATTTTTATTTAGACGTTAGATATGATTCATTTTAAAGTACGAATGACACAATCAATGACACACGAGTATAAACTCAACATTTAACTCTCCGCTCACTTATAAAATACCGTTAAATACTCGTAATAACTACGGTTTGTGTGTTCGATTAATATAGATTACTTCGAAATGGTTTCAGCGCTAGAGAGTTTAGAATCAATCTTGGTTATGGAATTTATCTATCGTAATAAATCTACTGAAGACCGGCTACATAAGAGCTGATGGCACTTGATTGATATCGACGTTAGTCAAGTTTCATCGTTATTCACCCATTCATCAGTTTTTATACATGAATATAAAATCAATGCTTGTCTATGCTCACTCGGTTTTGAAGAAGCTATCCTTGTATATCAAGTGTCACCGGCAAAATTGCGAGCGCCTATGAATATTTTTCACCGAGTCGCCGTTTCTATGCTATTGGGAATACTGATTTGGCACAATTTAATCTGTTACATTTTTCATAATATCTCAATTAAAATTTTCCGAGAAAACTCAGTGATATTGCAAAAATGTATAGCCATGAATAAAAATCATCCCATTGAATCTAGCAATGAGGAACGCAATACTAAATAAAAATACAATACAATAAATAAATGAGGAACGCAATACCTTATTTGCATGCACGAATTTCTTTACCATAAATTCATCAATGAGAAAATTCAGTCAGGATCGGAACATCGTGTAAATTTTCGTGCGGAATAAATATTTTGAGAGGCCGAGCGACGACACCGCGTGGCAGTAACAATAAATTCAAGCGCTGCTAAGAGGGGAGATGCACAAACTGCTGTCAGCGCTGCACGGTGGTGCTGACACTGCAGCGCTGCACGGTGGTGCTGACACTGCAGCGCTGCGCGGTGGTGCTGACACTGCAGCGCTGCGCGGTGGTGCTGACACTGCAGCGCTGCATGGTGGTGCTGACACTGCAGCGCTGCATGGTG